GCGTCAGCTCCTCCCCCTGCGACAGCTCCTCCCCCTGCTGTGTGACCCTCTGCTGCAAGCCCGTCTGCTGCAAGCCCGTCTGCTGCACACCAGTCTGCTGTGAACCTGTCTGCTGTGAGCCCGTCTGCTCTGGATCCTCCTGTGGCCAGCAGTCTTGCTGCCAGCCCTCAAGCTCCCAGTCGTCCTGCTGTGTGCCCCTCTGCTGCAAGCCCGTCTGCTGCAGACCCTGCTCCAGCATGTCCCTGCTCTGCCGCCCCGTGTGCAGACCCGCCTGCTGCGTGCCCGCCTCCTCCTGCTGTGCCTCCTCCTGCCAGCCCAGCTGCTGCCGCGGGTCCTCCTCCATGTCCCTGCTCTGCCGCCCAGCCTGCTCCAGCCAGGCCTGCTGAGGCCTCTCCTCAGACAGAAGTCCAGCTACTGAGTAGCATCTTTGGTCATCCCGAAGCTCGAGAGCTCCCTCCCTGTGACTTCTGGCTTCTCTGCTAGTAGTCAGTGACTGTCCATATCATGTCTCCAGAGTCTTGTAGGGGACTTAACTGTCACTTGCGGCCCCCTTCTTGCAGAGCCACCCCCTGCTCTTACCTCGTGACTTCCCTAGTCAGGGACCCTGCCTCAGGTGTGCAGCGGTGAGCTGGACTCTCCACGGTCCAGCCCTGTGTGTTGCAAAGCTTGAACAGAAATCACACTTGAGCTGATCTCTCAGTCGCCCTCCCAGGTCCATGATGGGGCTCCTCTGTGACATGGAAGAGAGGGGGGCTTTCTTCTCTCTTGGCTCTCAGCCTCTAATTTCTCTCCCTCAACTGTACTTGTCATACCCCAATAAACTCTTCTTGACACACCTGACCAAGCCTGTCCCAGCGTCGATCCCTGCCTGCATTCCCACCCCTGATGTCCCCAAGGCACTGTGCCCCTGTTCCCTTCCACAGTGTTTAGGAGCAGGCATGCCCTGTCATAGGTGTGTCCAAGGGATGGACTTGTGTTTGGGGACAAAAAGGGTGAGAGTTTGATAGTGGAGGCTGCCTTGGGCCTGGCCTTGGTCATGTTTCGGCATGAGTCCCTTCAAGTCCCCTTGCCCTAAGGGGTAAGTCCCTGGGGGGCCACTCTCTGTTGAGAACATGGCTCTGGGAGGCTACCCCTGTTCTGCATCCTTGGCCCACATCTTTGTAAAAGCGGTGGGGCTGGACACCTGCTTTCTTGAGGGACTGTGGGCTCTGGTGTGCGGCAAATGTATCTGATGGCCAGCCTGTGGGAGCCCTGGTTGTGCGTCTAACATACACCAGCCTGTGGAAGCCCTGGTTGGGAGTCTAACATACACCAGCCTGTGGAAGCCCTGGTTGTGAGTCTAACATACACCAGCCTGTGGAAGCCCTGGTTGTGCGTCTAACATACACCCTGGTGGGGACATTTTGTGGGAGTCACTTGTCCTTGTAGGGGACTGGGCATAGCTCCTGGAAAGCCTCAGCTCCCTGCTTTCCTGGACCTCGTCCCAAGCTCCTTTTCCCTGTCGGTAACACCATCTCCTGGACCCGTGGCCCTGGTCCAGCTACAGCTAGAGCCATACAGTGAGCTTCTGTCAGTTAAATGAGCCTGGGGACAGCCTGAAAACCCTAGGCCACAGATTCTCAAGGGTGCCAGTGGGGGTCCAGCAGGGTGAGGACAGCCCACCCTCAACAGGATGTAGGAGCAGAAGGGCTTTGTGGTCTCAGGTCCCTGGGACACTAGCCCTCTGGCTCTCACAGATAGCAGGTGATGGACAAAGGACCGAAATGCAGACTTCACAAGTGAACAAAAGGAGCAGGAGCGCAGGTGTAGAGGATGCCTTGGGCCAGAAATCACCAAGATGGTCCTTCCCACCCATGACCAGATTTGCATAACTAACACAGAGAAGAGGCAGGAGACCCTCAGGATCGCACACGGCCAGCTGCATCACAGTCACAGTGGGCACAGACACAGGACTGCCCTGGGCTGTAGTGAGGACGTTGCTGTCCAGAGCCAACTGCTGGCTGTTGGGAATCCAGCTGATGGGTGGACATCACATTAGGGACTCGTGTCATATCACTACACATGACATGACATTGCTACCTGTCACTAGGCAGCGCTACCTGAAGCTCCTGGGTGCTGGGGACAATCTGCCTGCTTTTGGCTAGAGGGTGGACGTCACCAGAGTGATATATCCACCAAGGACACACATGAGCTCACCAAAACAATGCAATCAGAGCAGATCAGCGTGGATGAGAGTAAAAAGAGCCCAAGCACAGGAGACAATGACAGGACAGCAACTCTATTGAAAGGTTGAGCGAGTGGTCATTACAGCTCAAAGTATCTACATTAAGACTTCAAACTGTGCTGGAGGAATGGCTCAGCAGTTAAGAGCACTGACTGCTCTAGCAGAGGACCCGGGTTCAGTTCCCAGCACCCACATGGTGAGATCCATCCTGGGATGCTGCGGAGGCCCCCATGGCTGGGGGGAGAACCTGAACCAGGCTTTCTGGCTCTTCATGCACTAGGTTCAGTTCCCAGCACCCACATGGTGAGATCCATCCTGGGATGCTGTGGGGGCCCCCATGGCTGGGGGGAGAACCTGAACCAGGCTTTCTGGCTCTTCGTGCACTAGGTTCTGCCCACACAGACCCTACCTCTGCGACTTCCTAGATGAGGACACAGAGAAGGTGGGTGGCCACACTAACCAACAATACAAAGAACCAACAAAACAAAGTGCTGGTTCTTTGAAAAGATAACCAATATTGACAAACCCTTAAAACTAACCCAGGGAGAAAGACTCAAATTAATAAAATTAGGGAGCACAGAAGAGATATTTCTACAGATACCACTAAAGACCAGAGGGTCATCTGGGGGTGCTCTGAAAGCTTATGCTACAAAAAACTGAAAGGTCTAGAAGAAACAGATAAATTCAGGGTCATATGTGACCTACCAGGATCAAATTTAGAAAACACACATCACCAACCCTAACCCTTCCAAGCGGATTCTACAAAGCCTGTTTTCCTCCACACCAAAGCCAGATAAGAACATAGCCAAAAAAAACCCGTGTTATCAATTTCCCTGATAAACATATACAAAAGTTCTTAATAAAATATTTTCGAACAGAATTCAACAACACATTAAAAAGATCATACAGGGAGACTGGAGACATGGCTCAGTAGTTAAGAACACAGATTGCTCTTGAGGAGGACGTGGGTTGGATTCCCAGCACCTACATGGCAGCAAACAACCATCTGTAATTCCAGTTCCAGGGATCTGATGGCCCTTTTGGGGATCCACCAGCATTACATGCACGGGTGCATTTACGTACATGTAGGCAAAACACTCACACGCATAAAATAAAAATAAATTAATTTTTAAAAAAGATCAAACAGGATGTGGGGTTAGTTCCATTGTAGAACACAAAGAAGGTTTAACCCACACAAATCAATAAATGCACAAAAACACTCAGAGAAAAATCACATTAGGTCTGGTAAATTTGATAAGGTTTCAGTTCACAAGGTAAACACATAAAACTCAGTAGCATTCCTATACACAAATGGCATAATCTCCAAAAAGTTAAGAAAACCATCCCATTTCTTTTTTAAAAAATATTTTATTAATTTTTTTTTTATTGTATATGTACTCCTGTGTTGCCTGGAGGACAGAAAAGGCTGTCAGATCCCCTGGAACTAGAGTTACAGGCAGTTGTTAGCTGCCATGTGGGTGCTGGGATTCGAACCCCGAATTTCTGCAAGAACAGTCAGTGTTCTTAACCACTGAGCCATCTCTCCCGTCCAACAGTCCCATTTCTAATAGCATAAAAATTCATAAAGATAAATTTAGCCAAAGACGTGACTAATAGCCAAACCGAACAGTACAAAGTGTTAATGAAAGAAATGGAAGACAAAAGAAATTGAAAGACGTTGTCTTCCTGGATTGTATGATTCATACTGTTAGAATCTCATACTGCCCACAGTGTTCTATATATTGGAATCAATCCCTAGTAAGTCCAATATCATTTTTTCAAAGTTACAAATAATCCTAATTAACATAAAGCCATAAAAACTCTGAACTGAATACTGAACAAAAAGAGCTAAGCAGGTTATCTATCCCTCATTACAGAGCACACCATACAACTAGTGTGGTCACCACATACCGCACAACTAGTGTGATCACCACATACTGTACAACCAGTGTGGTCACAACATACCGTACAATTACTGTGGTCACAACATACTGTACAACTAGCATGATCACAACATACTGTACTGATCTGCAGCTCACAACATACTGTACAACTAGCATGATCACAACATACTGTACAACTACTGTGGTCACAACAGCATGGTCCTAGCATTATAAAAGAGCACTGGCCAATGGGACAGAATATAAACCCCAGAAGTAAGCCCAACTGTTTATAGCCACTCAATTTCTGGCTGTTTGCCTCAGCCACTGAGTGCTGAGATGAAAGTGTGTGCCACTGTGACTGGATCTTGCAGAGGACCCAGGTTTGATTCCCAGCACCCACATGGTGGCTAACAGTCATCCATAACTCCAGTTCCAGGGGATCTGTAACCCTCTTCTGATCTCCATGGGCATTGCACAACATGGTGCACTTACTACATGCAGGCAATACATTCATACACATAAAATAAAAATAATTAAAAAAATTTAATTTAAATTATAAAACGGTAGCTATGCTACTATTTCTTTTCTTTTTTTTTTCACTGAATGGCTTTTAAGTGAGCAGGAAGCGTCCGGTCAGCTCCACTGCTGCCCAGGCACTCAGAGCAGCACAAAGGGAAGGAGGAATGAGGTCAGTGAGAGCAACTATACAACATGTCTAGGACTTTCAAAGTCCATCTAAGATCAGGTTACAATAAGGGAGGGAGAAGAATCAGAGGAAGGAAATAAGAACACCATGTATTTTTTAGAATGACTATCACGTTCTCATTCAAAGTAGAGGAGGCCTGAATAAAAATTAAATGTAGTTATGGCGGGGGTGTGGTGGCGCACACCTTTAATCTCAGTACTTGGGAAGCAGAGGCAGGTGGATCTCTGTGAGTTCAAGACCAAAAAAAAAAAAAAAATTAAATGTAGTTATATATGTAGGATATTATTCTAAAAGCTTAAAAATGAAAGCAAAATTCTACCATCTTTAAAAATACCTATTTTACAAATTATTTTTATTCCATGTATACAAGTTTTTGCCTACATGTGTGTAAGTGTACCCCTGTCCTGCAATGAGCAGAACATACTGTACAACTACTGTGATCACAACATACTGTACAATTACTGTGATCACAACATACTGTACAATTACTGTGATCACAACATACTGTACAACTACTGTGATCACAACATACTGTACAATTACTGTGATCACAACATACTGTACAATTACTGTGATCACAACATACTGTACAACTACTGTGATCACAACATACTGTACAATTACTGTGATCACAACATACTGTACAATTACTGTGATCACAACATACTGTACAACTACTGTGATCACAACATACTGTACAATTACTGTGATCACAACATACTGTACAATTACTGTGATCACAACATACTGTACAACTACTGTGATCACAACATACTGTACAATTACTGTGATCACAACATACTGTACAATTACTGTGATCACAACATACTGTACAACTACTGTGATCACAACATACTGTACAATTACTGTGATCACAACATACTGTACAATTACTGTGATCACAACATACTGTACAACTACTGTGATCACAACATACTGTACAATTACTGTGATCACAACATACTGTACAATTACTGTGATCACAACATACTGTACAACTACTGTGATCACAACATACTGTACAATTACTGTGATCACAACATACTGTACAATTACTGTGATCACAACATACTGTACAACTACTGTGATCACAACATACTGTACAATTACTGTGATCACAACATACTGTACAATTACTGTGATCACAACATACTGTACAACTACTGTGATCACAACATACTGTACAATTACTGTGATCACAACATACTGTACAATTACTGTGATCACAACATACTGTACAACTACTGTGATCACAACATACTGTACAATTACTGTGATCACAACATACTGTACAATTACTGTGATCACAACATACTGTACAACTACTGTGATCACAACATACTGTACAATTACTGTGATCACAACATACTGTACAACTACTGTGATCACAACATACTGTACAACTACTGTGGTCACAACAGCATGGTCCTAGCATTATAAAAGAGCACTGGCCAATGGGACAGAATATAAACCCCAGAAGTAAGCCCAACTGTTTATAGCCACTCAATTTCTGGCTGTTTGCCTCAGCCACTGAGTGCTGAGATGAAAGTGTGTGCCACTGTGACTGGATCTTGCAGAGGACCCAGGTTTGATTCCCAGCACCCACATGGTGGCTAACAGTCATCCATAACTCCAGTTCCAGGGGATCTGTAACCCTCTTCTGATCTCCATGGGCATTGCACAACATGGTGCACTTACTACATGCAGGCAATACATTCATACACATAAAATAAAATAATAAATATTTTTTAGAAAGAAATGTAAAAATGTATATATTCAGGACATTATATATGTGTGTGTGTGTGTGTGTGTGTGTGTGTATGTGTGTGTGTGCTTATTTGTGTTGATGTGTGCATGTCATGCATGTATGTGGGGGTCAGAAGACAACTTGAGGATCAGTTTTCTCTTTCTATCATACAGGTTCTGGTCTTGAACTCAGATGGTTAGGCTCGGTGACTTAAACTCCAAGCCATCTCTTTGGCCCTAAGATTTCTATTTCTTGCAAACTAGTCTGGACAAACAGTCTACACATAAATGGGTCCCTTCATGTGGTGCAAGGTGACAGATGTCTTTCAGCCCAGTGAAGGTTTTCACATTCAACATTTTCACCATTAGTAAGACCATATAGGGAAAGTGTTTGAAAATCATGTCTGGAGTCTTGTAACA